CTTTCTTTCATGTCTTTCATTCATTCATCCATTTATTCTTTCTTTGATTCCGATAAAAAAAAAACTATCCTTACAAAAATACGTTGATAAAACCTGATTTACACACTTCAAAGAATTCATATTCTGTTCATACGAACCTATCCTTAAAAAAAACTTGTCGGCATTAAATAACTGGTCGAGGTAGATATACCGTAAAACAAAATAAACCAAAGAAAACTTTTTTGCACCTGGTATAAATTTAACATATGTCTCCTTTTTCTTTTTAATCTAGCGAGGTCCTGATATATGTCTATCTTTAGGTCACTATTAAAAAACGTACATATATCGATCTTATTGAGTCTTGTGTAAATCCGTTCAATAGATTCTAGTGTCAAGTGGTCCGATGTCAATGTTTTCAGATATATTAAAGGCAAGAGCAACGGTGTAAATTAGGACATAAACTACCTAGCGAGATTGTGAAAATGAATGCCACAACAGGGGTTAGGGGATATACCAAAAAGACAAAATATACTAAGAGCTACAAAGGAGAGAAACTTGTGGAGAGCCATGATCGCCTACATCCTGAATATACATCGCAGATAAAGAACAACAAGAAAAATTGCGTAAATGGATGGCGTGCAGGATTTCGGAAGGGTAACAAAAACACAAAAATTCTAAAGATCGAAAAAGCTTAGGAAATTGTGGAGAGCCATGATCGCCTACATTCTGAAGGGACATAGCACATAAAGGAAGAAAAACAAACTTGAGTAAAAGGATGGCGTACAGGTTTTAGGAGAAATAACAAAAACACATTTCTAAAGATCGAGAAATGAGAGGAAATTGTGGAGAGCCATGATCGTCTACATCCTGAAGGGACATGGCACATAAAAGAAGAACAAAAACTTGAGTAAATGGAATGGCGTAACAAAAATACAAAATTTTCTAAAGATCGAGGAAGAGGAGGAAATTATGGAGAGCCATGATCGCACATAAAAGAACAAAAAACTTAAGTAAATGGATGGCGTGCAGGTTTTAGGAGAGATAGCAAAACGACAATATTAAGAGCTACAAAGGAGAGAAAATTGTGGAGAGCCATGATCACCTATATCCTGAAGGGACATGACACGTCAAAGAACAACAACAAACTTGAGTAAATGAATGGCAGAACAGGGTTTATGAGAGATAACAAAAAGATAAAATTTATTAAGAGTTAGAAAGAGAGGGAAGTTGTGGAGAGTCATGATCGCCAATACCCTGAAGGGACATAGCACATAAAAGAAGAACAAAATTTTAAGTAATTGGATGTCAGACATCGTTTAGGAAAGATAACACAAAGACAATTTTTATTAAGATCTACAAAGGAGAGGAAATTGTGGAGAGCCATGATTTCCTATATTCAGAATGGACATGGCGCATAAAAGAACAACACACTTGTGTAAATAGATGTCGTACGGGGTTTAGAAGAGGTAACAAAAAATTTATTAAGAGCTACAAAGGAAAGAAAATTGTGGAGAGCCATGATCGCCTACGTCCTGAAGGGACATGACATATACAAGAACTACAATAAATTTGAGTAAATGGATGGCAGAACAGGGTTTATGAGAGATAGGATATATAGAAGAAAAAGAAGAAGAAGAAGAAGGAATGAAGAAGGAAAGAAAAAGAAGAAGTAAAGAAGAAGAAGAAGAAAGGAAAGAAGAGGAAGAAGAAGAAGAAGGAAATAAAAGGGAAAGAAAAAGAAGAAAAAAAGAAAGGAAAGAAGAGGAAGAAAAAGAAGGGGCAGAAGAAGAAGAAGAAGAAGAAGAAGAAGAAGAAGAAAGGAAAGAAGAAGAAGAGGAAGAAGAAGGAAAGAAGAAAGAAAGAAGAAGACGACGAAAGGAAAGAAGAAGAAGAGGAAGAAAAAGAAGGGAAAGAAGAAGAAGATAGGAAAGAAGAAGAAGAAGAAGATAGGAAAGAAGAAGAAGAAGAAGAAGAAGAAGAAGGAAGAAGAAGGAAAGAAGAAGGAAAGAAGAGGGAAAGAAGAAGAAAGAAGGGAAAGAAGAAGAAGAAGAAAAAGGAAAGAAAAAGAAGAAGAAGAAAGGAAAGAAGAAGAAGAGGAAGAAGAAGGAAAGAAGAAGGAAAGAAGAAGAAGAAGAAAGGAAAGAAGAAGAAGAAGAAGAAGAAGAAGAAGAAGAAACCTATCTTTTATAAATGGATGACAGAACGGTGTTTAGGTGATAGAACAAGTGACAAAATTTACTAAGATATAGAAATAAAAGGAAATTGTGGAGAGCCATATCGCCAAAATCCTAACAAGTCACAGCACATAAATGAAAAAGGTGAAGAACAAAGATGTGTAAATGGATGGCATACATGCTTTAGGAGAAATAACAAAAACTAAAAAAATTCTGAAGATCTAGAAAGGAGAGGACATTGTGGAGAGCTATGATCGCCTACATCCTTAAGTGGCATGGCTAATAAAAGAACAGCAACAAATTTGAGTAAATAGATGGCAGAATAAGGTTTAGGAGATAGTAAAAAAGACAAAAATAACTAAGAGCTACAAAGGTGAGGAAGTCGTAGAGAGCCATCATCGCCAACATCCTGAAAGGACACGACCAATAGAAGAAAAAACTCCAAACAATGTAAATTGTATAAATAGATATAATACTTTATCTCAGAAATATAGGACGATGTCGTACATATAAGTTCTCACTTCCCTCTTGCTATTGTTCCCTCTCCTTTTCTTCTCTCTCTCTCTCTCTCTCTCTCTCTCTCTCAATGACTGTTACATCCATTTTGGCTATTACTATCTTTTTCTTTCTCTCCCTTTTTCTTTTTCTGTTTACTTCTCACATCGTTTTTTTTTTCTTTCTCTCTGTGGACTCATTCTTTTCTTTTTTTTTTTAATTTTTATTCTTTTTTTGTATCTTTTTCTTTGTTTTTCTAATTATTTCTCTCTCTCTCTCTCTCTCATGCCCTTTCTTTTTCTTCACTTTTCTTCCTTTCCCAATCTCCGTCGTTCTTTCTTTTTTCCTCTTTTATAATTCCTCTGTAATCATTCATTACCACTCTTTCTAATTGTTCATATACATCTTTCTTTTCTAATTTCTCTCCATGTTTATTGCGTCCACTCTCTTTTATTCACTTTCTAATTCTTTTTCTATCACTCTCTCTCTCTCTCTCTCTCTCTCTCAGTCGTTTCCTCTCTTTCGAATTCTTTTTCTCACAATTTAACCCTCTTTTTTTTCACCCTCTCTAATTCATTTTCTATCAGTATCACTTACTCCCTTTTACTCTCATTCTAATTGGGCACCTATCGCTTACACTCTCGTTTCCTCTCTTTCAAATTCTGTTTCTATCACTTATACTCTTTTTTCCTCTCTTTCTAATTTTCTTTCTATCGCTTACATTCTCTTTACTTCTCTTTCTAATTTTCTTTCTATCGCTTACACAATCTTTTCCTCTCTTTTCAATTCTCTTTCTATCGCTTCCGTTCTCTTTTTCTCTCTTTCTAATTCTGTTTCTATCGCGTATACTCTATTTTCCTCTCTTTCGAATTCTCTTTCTATCGCTTACACTCTCTTTCCCTCTCTTTCCAATTCTCTTTCTATTGCTTACACTCTCTTTTCCTCTCTTTCTATCGCTTATACTCTCTTTTCCTCTCTTTCTAATTTTCTTTCTATCGCTTACACTCTCTTTTCCTCTCTTTCCAATTCTCTTTCTATCGCTTATACTCTCTTTTCCTCTCTTTCTAATTCTGCTTCTATCGCTTTCACACTATTTCCCTCTCTTTCTCTTTTTCCCGTCTCTAATTATCTTATCCGTCCTCTTACTTTCTATCAATTTCTTTTCTGTATTTTTTCTTTCCAATTCTTCTTCTCTCTTTCTTTTTCGCTATCCCGTCTATTCTCTTTTTATTTATTTCTCTATCGCTTTCGTTCCATCATTCACTCGTACTTTCTCTCTTTTGCTTTTCATTTTCTTTCTGTCTCTCTTTCACCCTCTTCCTTTCTCTCACTTTTTCTCTTTCTCCCACACACTCTCGTTGTCACACTCTCGCAGTTCCTTTCTTTCTCTATCTACCTGTCGCTCTCTATCTTATTAAACGCATTTACTTTATCACGCTTGCAAGCTCACTCTCTCTCTCTCTCTCTCTCTCTCTCTCTCTCTCTCTTCTTCTTCTTCTTCTTCTTCTTCTTCTTCTTCTTATCTCGATGCTTCTCTCATTCTGGCACTTTCATTTTCTTTCTCTTTCACTGAAATTCTCTCTCTTTCTCTCTATCTCTTTCTTACATTCTCAGCGTCTGTATTTTTTACTCAACATATCGTTTACACTTTTTCTCTCTCGTTTTCACTCCCTCACATTTTCACCCTCTATTTCACTCTCTCTCTCTCTCTCTCTCTCTCTCTCTCTCTCACACACACACACAAACATTCACTATTTCAATTTCGCATGCCGTCTCTCTCATTATCGCAATTCCCCTTTCTTTCCCTCATTTTCTTTCTTTCACCCTGTCTCTGTCTATAGGCAAAGGACGAAGAGTCTGGTTATGGTTGACAAAAAAATAAATAAATAAATAAAACAAAACAAAACTACTCGACTAAGACATATAAATCATCGCAAATAATATTTTAGTAATGATTCTGCTTGCCCCCTCACTCCCTCTGTTACTTGGATCGACCGTTACGCCGTGTCAGCGCCTCATAAATAATGAATTATTCCGTTTTAGACCGCGTGAAAACAAGGAGATGAGAGACGCTACACGGTTTCAGTGAGAAAATGAAAGAAAGAAAGAAAGAAAAAAGAACATGGAAGTGTTTATCGTCTGTTTCAATGAAATGGAAAGAGTTTTCAATTTCAAATCTTTTTTATTTGTACAGCCTTACTGATAAATAGATTTACTAATAACAATGTTTGCAAGACA